GAAAAGAGAATACTTTCAGTAGTGACGTGTGTGGTCTATTGGTTACGGGTCTTTACTTCTAGAACGAGCGGTCACAGGTTCATTCCTGTCCACGTCGTTCGTTTTTTCAATTCTTTTCTGGTCTAGGGAGTTTTTATTTTAATTTCTTTTTTGTTAGAACTCTTCAGTTGCAACACTAAATAACGTATATAACAACGAAAGAAAAGAGTACCGTCTCCCATAAGTAAATCAGTTCTCTCTTTTTAGCCGTTTCGCGCCAGACTTAATTGATGAGACTTTTAATGAAAGCACAGTTTCCAGTCTTTCTAGAGATATTCTAGTTTGCTGTAAACTGGTTATTCCATTTTTGGCTTTTGCAGCTCATTAGATGCGATAGCTTCCTTAAATTTTATTATTTTACTACTGTTGTCAAGAAATTCTACTATAGGTGGAATTTAGCGTCAATGAAAAAGCAGCAATGATTCCTGTACAGGGAAATAATAGGATAGCAACCGTTGAGATTTTATGGGAAAAGGTGGCATTCCTAGTAAATGTAGAAAGGTTTCAGAGAATAGGGATCACGACTACATAGTTAGTTTCTCTATACCGACCCGTGGGCTCAGGTAGGGTATTCCTATATGATTGTGTATTGTTGTGTCATGCGAGGGATGGACCTGATAAAATTATTATAATTATTTTAAAAAATGGATGCTAACTATATGACGGATGCACTTCTTCAGTTGTAACAGATTGTATTCTTTTCCGTTTCATTTACTAAACTGAAAACATTCGAAGAGTCCAGTTAGAGCCTCATGAGAAAAGAGCTCTAATACAACTGTTGCATAGTTTCCCATGTGCGAAAATCGCTTCATTTTTGTCGATTAATCGCGATGGTTGAAAAAATCGACGCTCAATCGCGATTCGGGAAAAAATGGTCATTTAATCGCGATTAAGTGATAAGTTTTTCGTGCATCATGATTAATCGATGACTTTGTCAACCATCGCGATTAATCACGAAAATCATCAATTAATTGCGATTAATTGTTGATTTTAAGTGATTAAATGGTTGTTGTTATTCACCGTTTTCTTTTGCAACAAAGTTTGTATATAAGAAACACGATTTCAGCGAAAAATACACTTATATTCAGATCATCTTTTTATTTTAGAATACAACGGAGTTGTCAAGAGTCTTCTCTATTGTTCCTCAGAGCTTTAAACCGAGAAGCCCACTGAACAGCTGATAGGTAGGCAATAATTAAAGCTGACTCCGACGCCAGCTGTTGCTAAGACCATTGCTGTGTGACGCACATGTCATTATACGTAATAAACAATGAAAAAACAGAAGAAATGTGTATTTCCTAAGCTGGGTTCGAACCTAATACCTATTAATTGACCTAAATCGTCAATTAGTTGCGATTAAGCGCACGATTAATTGCCGATTTTTATGCGATTTTTAGTACATGGGTTATATCTTGTATAATTTTAGTACTACAGATGCAATTGATAAAACGATTAGCGATAGAGTTGAACTTGCAATAGAATTTAAAGTGTTTAGAGATGTTCCTAGTTTTAACGATAAAAACAGGCACTACTGTAAAATGCGTGTTAATCCAGTTCACTGCTGAGAAACGCTATCATTTCTTTATAGGTTGAAATGATGCACACAGATATCTTTTTTTGTCTCCGTTGATCATACTACGTTGAACAATTGTTTTTTGTAACCTCTACATTAGAAAACTTGGTGCTTGCTCCGCGCTGAACCAAATTGGATAAAAATTGGCCGCCAAATGCAAACTTTGTCGGTGTTTACCCACAAATTTTGCATTTGGCGCCCAATTTTTATCCAGTTTGGTTCAGCGCGGAGCCAGCACCAAATTTTCTAATGATTCGAAACGGCGAACGTCGCGTTGTTATCATTCAGCATAAATCAATTTGGCGTGATTAAGTGTGCGCGTGAGTATGTGCAATGATATATGCTGCATCCGAATATATCATTGATAAAATATCAACCTGTCCTCTTAATACGTGAAAAGATTTTTTGAATATTTTGTGAAACATTCTTATGATAAGAATGTTTCGCGAACTTCTGCTCGCTTGTTCTTCATTTGAGCAAATTTTCAAGGATCATCGATAATGCACCGCGGAACTATAGTCTTCACCTTCATCTGAACCCTATTTCCAGATGAGCTGTGCGCAGAAAAAAGACCAAAAACCTCATTTTATGAGCAAAACATAGTTTTCTTTCCAAAATTGAGTTTGCACAAACTTACCGGCGTAATCATGATAGCCCAGCCCAATTTTCTGCACTACAAACAGAAACACACTCAACGGTACCAGTGTCTTCAGCATTCCATAACATCCATCCAAAGTCTGTCCCAACGTTTCCTGCAGACAGAGGATACTCATAATTGGCACCAAGAACTGTTGGCTTAAATTCATTCTCAACGATGTACCATAGGCAATGAATGCACCAAACAGAAAACTACACGTGAGACGAACAGAAAACTGGAGTTGTCGATTAAAGGAACCATGCAAGAGGAGGCTGGTGAATGGATGGCTACGATTGCTATGTCCATAGTGATGATTAAAATAGAACTGACGTGATGCAGTAAGAGTTGAACGAAGTCTTTTTGTAGTGAACCGCCGTTGCCGAGCTGATTTCGAAGGTCCAGTGGTGGCTTCGACGGTAGTAAATTGCACTTTCGGAACACCGTTCCACATTTCATAGTTAGAAGTATTATCAGCACCTTCTTCGCCGACAGTAGTATTAAGTGTATCTATACTTCCGAGAAATAGACGGGAACAGAACACGTTTCTAATGTTTAAGAAGATTAAAAAAGTGAATTTAAATTAGAAAGAGATACAAACATACAACATTGGCAATTAAGAATGAAACATGTGTGACGTATTCATCAGAAAATCCAGGTGATACGAAATTGACGGTTATCTATAAATCACGCCAAAAATAAGGTGAATTAGCTGATATCGTCTTCAAAATGTCAAATAATGATGCATTATTAGTTTATTAACTATCGAACATAACCAAACAATTTGTAAATTCATCACCATCACAATTTGAACTAGATACACATACAGAAAATGATAAATTATTAACTCGGAGTCTTTATTAATTTACCTGACATCATTTCACAATCATCATCCCCCAACATTTCCTCGATATTTCCAGATGCATCTTCGATCGTAAGTCACAGTAATACTTCTCCAACTATCATTGGTTCGACACCAAATAAAGTTCAATATGTATCCACAGCTGAATTTAAAGTACATTTAGCGGGCAGCAAAAAAATTGAATGTAGATGTAGTAGCCGTAGTGGAAAATGATCTAATGAAAGTGGAGTTTTCATTTCGTATTAAAGGCAATGTTTCTCATGACATTTTACATACAGATCACCAGCTTAGTGCCAATCTATCAACATCATCTGTCGCATTATTAAATGCAAACAAAAATGCATGTCAGTGAATAGTCTCACAGTTTTTTGTTTACCCTTTATATTCGAACATTAGAAAAAAATAATGTATTTAGCGAATAAAATATAAAACAAGTTAAAAATCCGCACGTTTTCCTCTTCGGTCCCAATCATCATATCGCATTAGTTGAATAGAGAATTGACCGACAAGAAAAGAAAGATTAACATGTGTTTTTCGAAAAGAGGAAAATCTGAATGTAAAAGACGAAAGAAAACAAAAGAGAGAATACTATGAATCCACAGCTTTTGTCGATATTGTTCTTCTTTTTATCATGTTTTAGCCAGGAGTGAGCAAATCCAATTCTGTGAATTCCGTTTTAAGTTCAACCCCATTTTCTTGCTTTAATTTTGGAAACTGCTACTTACTGAGAAAGAGGTACTTTCTATGCATTCTTACAGGCACAACTTTAGTCATATAAATTCGGCATCCGTCTCTTTTGGAGAAAATACAGATGATCTCAAGTGATGCATAGCCTTCGCGTGCGATATCTTTATCACGAAAGAAATCTTTCTATTTTCTCAGTCTCAATTATGTATTATTCGTAGTAAAAAGAGTGGAGTTGTATCAGGATTAAAAATATGTAAAAAATCCAGCTCCACTGCATCTTCGATAAAACAACGCTCAACACTGGAGTTAACCCCAAATCCGGAGTTGAAGTTGTCCTGTATTGCTTTTAGCACTGTGTGCAATGTTGTAATTTTAAAATATAATAATTAAAATTAAATTCGTACAAATCAAACATTTCATGTCCTTTACATAGAACGCATACGAAACATCAACTTTCTTTTTATGAGTCATATCAAAATGTCAATAGAAGCTGTTATCATGAGTGAATTTTTTATTCATCAAATGCATATTCAACAAATAGTTGTGTTTCTTTCTGTTTTTATCATTCAACCAAATACGATGATATTCATACCCATTTTGTAAATAAACTCGCATGAGAATACTAATTTGTTTATTTTGTAATGAATTAAAATATCCAGATGATCATAGCGATTGTTTAAATACGTTTCTTTTAGTACATACGATCCTTTTGTAACTATTTTATGTCTTTTTCAATCATTATAGATGCAACCAATTAAAAGGAATCACTAGCAAATATGTGCCCGTCTCAAGTTCGTGACTAGCCTTAATCATGAGCGTTACTATGATCGTTCATTACCAGAGAAAAGTTTTCCTGGCCGTGAGGAAAGAAATTTGTCGTGATCGTGACCAAAAAAGCTGGTCACATCGATCTCTACATATAGCGTCTAAATCATTCTTTTTCTTTTTAAGTTGACACCTCAAAATTCAAACGTGTCCATTCTTTTGGATACGAACCGGTCAGGAGTAAATTCTTGTGTATATTGTAATGAAAACTGTTCTCATTTCAAGCAAAAGATATTCACAAAATTCAAAAAAATTGCGCAATAAAAGATGATGATTAGTTGTGAACAGCGATCATTAATTGTAAAAATAAATATTTAAATTAAAAAACGTATGGAATAAAACAACAATCTTGAATAAAACAAATATCGTATACATATCGCTTAATCGTGCTGTTGTTGTAATTTTCTTTTTTCTTTTAACAGAATAATATCTTCTTCTGTTCGAACAATATCCAAATGTTCTTTTGGTAAAAATTGTTTATACATAATTAATGCTCTTTCATAATATTCAAGTGCAATATTTAAATTATGCATTTTTTCATATACATCAGCTGTATTATTTAGACTAAAAGCAAGACTTGGATGACCTAATGGAAAAAGTTTTTCAGTTATATTCAATGATTTCAATTGATATTCTAATGCTTTTTCATATTCACCTTGATCATTTAGTATATTACCTATTGTGGTATAGGTTAATGATCGTCGTTCACTGTCAGGTAAATAATATTGTTCTTCAATTTTTAAGGCTTTGTCCATGTATTCTAATGCCGTATTATATTCACATTTTGCCTGATAAACAAGAGCTATATTATGATAACTGGCACACCATTCCTTATGATTATTTGGAAAACATTTTTGTTTCATATTGACTGATTCGAAATGATATTCTAATGATTTATTCCAATCACCTTTATAATAATAAATTAGACCTATATTATTTAATAAAATTGCTATATCACGATCGAAATACTCAGGACCTAATGCATCTGTTCTAACTTTTAGAGCTCTTAAATAATAATCTAATGCTTCATTTTGTTGGTCTTTTTCCATATAAACTTTTCCCATATTATTCAGTAATCTTAATAAATCTTTTGAACGTTCTGGTCTAGTATTAATTATCATTGTGTAAGTACGTTGATAATCTTTGAGTGCATCATCATATTCACCTTTTAATCTTTTTGTTGTGCCAATACAACTATAAATTTCAGCTATATCCTCATCTTTTGGATTAGCTAAAAGATTTTCGAAATATTCTTGTGATTTATCATACTTACCAACTTCACTTAAAAGTTTACCAAACATTATTTTAGAACTTGATTCATTCATTTCTTTTCTATTTGTTTCAATATAGTCATTCGCAATCTTTGAGCCTTTATCTGTTGTTTTTAATTTTACAATCCACATATTTAATGTTTCATCATGGTTAATAGCTAAAACTTCAAATGTTGCACCTATTTCGAACAAAACCTCATCTTCATCTGGTATATCACTAAATCTTGCTATATGAGCAAAAATAACTGCATCATTTATTCAATTAAATTGCATTCAATCTCATAAATGACAGCTTGTTTTTTTGTATCCGTTGATCTACCGGCAAAGAGGAAGGCAGTTTCTTTTGAAAGACTAGTTGAAAAAAATCCATTTGTTGATATTGGTTGATTTTTATGATTTTTCAATTTTTCTAATTCATCATCTCGCAATCGTCCACCATGATAAACAGTTATAATATCAAAATTTTCTTTTATAATCTGATACTCTTTTTTTAAATTTTCACATAAATCTGATATAAAATATCGAAATATATACAATTGTTCAATATCTTCTGTTCGTAATGCTTTATTTATTAACTTATAAACAAATGCCGGTTTTGTATACCATTTTATAGCATCTTCAGGTTTATATGTTTGTTTAAATTCTTCAATAAATTTTATTTGTGACTGATTACCATGATAATATTCAAGGCATTTTTCAACAAGTTCTTGTTTAGCTTGATTATCATTAGGTATTCTTGTAATAACGTCTTTAAATAAGAGTAACCATAAAAATGAGGCCGGTTCATTAAATAAATCTCGAATAGAGTTTTGTTTTGTTTTATCATAAAAAGTAAATGTTGCCATATGTTTTTCAACAATATATACATTTTTTCGAATAGAATCAATTAATTCTTGTTGTTGTGTATAAATACCAATAATTTTTGAATAATCTTTTAATAAATATTCATATGGTTTTTGTTTTAAACAAAACAAGTAAATTGAATCAATTTGTTTATGTTGATGAATTAAGGGTAATAAATGTATAGCACATTTACCAGATGTAATTAAAAATAATTTTTCATTTTCAATTGATTTTATATAGTCTGTGCATTTTTTTTCGTTGGAAAAAAATAAAATAAAATCATTGCTTTCTTTTAATAATTCCATAGTGTGATGTATATCTTCATTATCATCATCAGTATCTAGATCAATATTTGTATCACACCAGATTAATGTTATACCTTCCATATTTATAGGAAGTTGTTCTTGATCATCATTCGGATGATTTCGAATCAAACTATGCTTTTCTTTTACTTTTTGTTTTCGTCTTTTTGTCATTTTACACCCCATGATCGATCTAAAATTATATTAATAGATATGGCATAATTAGCAACAAAAATAAACAGATTCTGCACTGCCAAACTTCGTTATATGCGGTACGAAGGTTCTTTTCGTCGGTTTGAAAGTGAAAAGAACTGAGAGACATGTGCGTGAAAAGAAAATGTTATTATGACTTGCAGTAATATAAATAAAAGTCACAGCGAGTGCTGAAGTAAAAAGCAATTTCATTCGCACAGGAAAATAAAGAAAAGGTAACTGATGAATTTGAGCAGACGTATGATTCAAAAAAATCAATTTGGTGTTCTACACAAGAATGTTTTATATATCCCCTATTAAATTAAATACTACGATGAGAAAGTACAGATGGATATTTGCTTCATTCTTTTTCTTTACGATATACATCAACAAATTGGACAAGATTATTTGCAACAAAACCCAAGTTAGATAAAAACAGGTTTTCGTGGACAACTCATAACTGAACAAAAATTAGATATATTTAAAAAATCAATTTAATTTAGTGTTTTATCAATTTTGTTTCAACAACACCAGATCGTGATTTCACATTAATGTTTGCTAACAGTAATTATCAGTCAGTCAATGATGATGAGTAACATGCTGCTCTGTTTGAAATAAATATTGTAGAAAATAATTTAAAACGTTTGGTGATATAACTTAAAAGATTCAAGTTATATGCTAGATGAAGATGAAATATTATTTAAGGGATAAACAAAACAGAACATTCAATAACGTCAGTTGAATCTCAGGATTGTGTCGCATTGTGCTTATGGCGTTATATAATGTACAATAATAATACACACTGTGCCGCTATGAAGTGTGTTTGTGACATTATAATGTCACCTATGTCGTGTTAACCTTGATAATTATTTAGGTTCTGTTTTATTCTTATATTAGTTGCTTTTTCTTACTAGATTGATTGAAGATAAGAAAATTTAGGTCTTACATTCGTTTTACATATTAGCTTACAAGACATACTCGGTTGTATACATTAATGTCCAATCAAAATTCATTCAAAAAACAGCTGCGACTATGGTGTTTTTAAGGGAGATCTCTTCACCCTAATATACTTGCAAAGTTTGCATTTTATGACACTTATATCCGTTTATGATGTTATATAGCAAAAAAATTCTCATGGTTGTAGCACATTGTGCTTGTGGTGTTATGTAATGCCGTAAATACACTGTGGTGCGATTAACGAAGTGTGTTTGTGGCATTATATATCGTCACAAAATGATATATTGTGTCATACACTTGATGTTATAAAACGTCACAATCTAATGTAAAGTGTCGTATTGTGTTACTACTTTTCTTTACATTATATAACGTGAAAACCTGTTATAGTGTACGTCTGGTATGCATACAAGTCATACTACGATATAGATACACATGGGTACATCATTATGGCATTTGTGTTGAATAAATTTTCTTGCAAATAAATTAATTTCGTATATATTTTGAAACTTAAGTATAAATGCACTTATTTTAAAAGACATTTGAGTGTAAATTTCAACTGTGACTAGGTATGCACCAGTTAAAACCTGGTGTTAGGGCATCCGGAAGAATTGCTATACATCAGTTATCACGATCCGCTCAGAGCTGTAAAACGTCTCATTTTGTACAAAATGTTTGTTCTACAAAATGCATTTGTTAAAAAAATTCAAAAAACTATTTCTAACAAAACTTAGAGCATTCTAACAGTACATCACAGCAAAAAAACTGTTTTTGACAACTAGGTATGCATCAGTATTTCACTGGTGTTGGAGCAATCAGAAAAATTCCGATGTATTGGTATCAAGACTTGCTCATAGCTGCGAAAAGTCTCATTTTGTAGAAAAAGGTTTTCTGTACAAAATGCATTTGTTAAAAAGGTCCAAACGTATACCTGACAAAACAACTTACACTGTAATGTCGGGAATTATTTATAGAAAATGCTCGGCGATTTTCAAAAAGTCCATATATAAATTCTCTGAGGATTTTCTAGATTCTAGAAAATCGAATTTACAAGAAACTTGGAAATTCGATCTCGATTTTCCAGAATTCAGGAAAATCGAGGTCGAATTTCTATAAATAATTCCCAAGATTCTTGAAATTCGAGGTCGAATTTCCAGTTCGATTTTCTAGAATTATGGAAAATGCTCAGCGATTTTCAATCTGGAAATTCCTCGGCG